AGCTGAACTCTGAGTTCTCTCCACCTGCATTGCTCGGTCTGGTGGGCAGCTGGCGGGGCAGCTGGGCTTTTGCTCATTTGCTGTGTGTGTGTGTGTGGGGGGGAGGGACAGAAGAAGCTGTGGGATGGCCAGGACCTGGCTGGTTGGTCAGGGAGCAGGGGAAAAAGATGCTTATGCTTGCTGTGGGTGGTGCAAATCGGTACCGTTCTGGAGGAAAAGTTGACCATTTTTATTGAAACCCTTAAAAAATGCATGTGCTCTTGTTGAGAAGGCCCTCATTAAAGGAAGTGTAAATATATTTGAATTGGGACGGCAAGTGGCGTAGTGGTTAAGGGTGCTGAACTCCCACATGGCCGACTGCAGTTCGAGTCCTGGACCTGGCAGCTTGCTTTGTCACTTTCTCTCTCTCTCACTTTGTCCCTCTCTGGTCAAATTAAAATAAGTAAATTAAATTAAATTAAATAATTCTTTTAAAAATATTTGAGTGGAAACAACACTCTAGAAGACTACTGAATAGTGATTGTTTCTGTGTAATGAATTTTCAAAGATACATATACGTGTTTAATATAATGTTATGTAACTATCTATATCAAATTAATAATTTTCTGAGAAGTTTTGGGTTTACAGAAAAATTAAGGAGCAAGAACAGAGTTACCCCCACTACACGGTTTCCCATTGCATTAACAGGGTAACATATGTTACAATTAATGAATCATTATTATTACATTATTATTATATTAACTAAGGTACATGGTTAACATCTATTGATTTGAACAAATGTATCATTACATGTATCCACCATTACATAACATACTTAGTAGGTTTCTTTCTTTTTTTTTTTTTTTTGCTATAGGGCATGTGCGCTCACCAGAGAGACAGAGAGACAGAAAGCGAGAAATCACCGCCCACGGGGGATGGCCATGCCACAATCCCTTCTCCTCCATTCTCCTCTCGGGATCTTGGGCATGCACGCACACGCGCCTGGTGTAAGTTTAAGCCACCGAGTCTGGGACTCGAACCTCAGTCAGCTACATGGGAGTCCAGAAACATAGCCATTATGCTAACTGCTGGTCCCTAGGTTTCTTTTAGGATTATTTATCAGGACCAGTGGATGGCATAATGGTTGCATCACTGGACTCAAGTCTCGGATCTGGCAGCTTAAAACTCATATAGGGTATGTGTGTGTGCATGCCCCAAATCCCAAGAGGTGAATGGAGGAGGAGGGATTGCGCCTCCCCTCTTGGGGGGTAATTTCTCACCTTCCCTGGCAGCTTAAAACTCACACAGGGTGTGTGTGTGTGTGTACGTGCCCAAAATTCCAGGAGGTGAATAGAGGAAAAGGGATTGTGGATCCCCTCTTGGGGGGTGATTTCTTGTCCTCTGTCTCCCTGTCATTCCAGCGAGCATATGTGCCCTATGGCAAAACCTCTCTCTAGAGAAAAAAAAAAAAGAATTATTATTTAGTTCATTTATTATTATTATTATTTAAAGTTGCTATATGGCACATGAATTATTATTTAGTTTATTTATTATTATTTAAAGTTGCTATATGGCACATGCACTCAGCAGAGAGAGACAGAGAGAAAAGTGAAAAAGCAAGCCCCAGATCTGGGACTTGAACCACAGTCGGCCTCTTAACCACCACCCTACCTGCTGGCCCTTATACTAAATAGTTTTTATTGTCCTGAAAATCCTTTATGCTCTGCTCTCTCATCCCTCCCTCTTTCAGCTCCTGGCAACTACTGATATTCTTACCGTCTCCATAGTTTTCCCATATCCAGAATGTCAATTAGTTGGAATCATGTTGGATGTAGCCTTTCAGACTGACCTCCTTCACTTAGCAGTACGTGTGTGAGGTTCCTTCATAGATTTTTGCAGCTTAATAACACATTTCTTTTTAGCACTGAAATAATATTCCATTGTGCTTAGGCACACAGCTTATTTATCCACTCTCCTACTGAAGGACTTCTGGATTGCTTCTAAGTTTTGGCCATTATGAATAAGGCTGCTGTGAACATTCACGTGTAGGTTGTTTTTATTTTATTAGTTTTTAACTTATTTGGATCAATGCCACGGGACCCAGGTGCTGGATACTATGGTAGGAGTATGTTTAGCTTTGTAAGAAACTGTCAAAGTGTCTTCCCAAGTGGCAGTGCCATCTTGCATTCCCACCAGCAATAAATGAGAGTTTCCTCGTTTCATATCATCACTGAAATTTGGTGGTGTCAGTGTCTTGGGTTTTATTTAATTAATTTATTCTTAGAGATTTTCACTATAGAGCATGTGTGCTCCCTGGAAAGACAAGAGACAGAGAGAAAGTGAGAAATCACTCCCTTGAATGGGATGAGGGTTGGATGTGCCACAACCCCTTTTCTTCCATTCTCCTCTAGGAATTTCGGGCACACATGCCTGAGTTTCAAGTCACCAGGTCTGGGACTCAAACCTTAGTTAACCATGTGGGAGTCCAACACCTTAACCACTACATCACCTGCTGGCCCGAAGTGTTTTGGATTTTAGCCATTCCAGTGGGTGGGTAGTGGTGTCTCATCGTTGTTTGAATTTGCAGTTCTTTAATGACATGGGATGTTGGGCATCTCTTTGGGTGTTTATTTGCTGTTTTCATCACTTCTTTGAGGTGGCCATTCAGATCTTTTGGACATTTTAAAATCTGAGTTGTTTTCTTAATGTTGAGTTTTAAGAATTTTTTTGCAGAATTTGGATACCAGCCCCTTTTCAGATATGTACTTTGCAAAGATTTTTGTCCACTTTTGATTTGTCTTTTCATTTTCTTCACAGTGCTTTTCACGGAGCAGAGGTTTTAATTTTAATAAAGTCCAATTTGCCAATTTGTTTCTGTCATGGATCATGCTTAAATCTAAAAAGTCATCATCAAGCCTCAGGTCATCTAGACTTTCTTCTATTATCCTCTAATTCTGTAATTCTGCATTTTATATTTAGGTCCACAACTCATTTTTTTAGTCAATTTTTGTGAAAGGTGCACAGTTTGTGTTTATATACATTTTTAATATGTGAATGTCTAGTTTTACCAGTACCATTTGTGAAAAAGACTACCTTTTTTGCATTGAATCCTTTTGCTCCTTTTGTTAAAAATCAGTTGATTATAAAGGAAAAAAAAAATAAAGAGGGACCAGCAGTTAGTGTAATGGCTATGTCGCTGGACTCCCACGTTAGTCAACCGTGGTTCGAGTCCCGGATCCGGTGGCTTAAACTCACGCTGGGCACGTGTGCATACGTGCCCAAGATCCCAAGAGGTGAATGGAGGAGAAGGGATTGCAGTGTGGCCACCCCCCCCCGGGGGGGGTGATTTCTCACTTTCTGTCTCTCTGTCTCTCTCAGTCTGGCAAGCGCGTGCGCCCGATAGCAAAAACCTCTCCAAAAAAAAAAGAAAAAAAAATCAGTTGATTATGGGACCAGCAGTTGGTGTAATGGTTACGTCTCTAGACTCCCATGTAGTCGACCACAGTTCTAGTCCAGGACCCAGTGACTTAAACTCACGCCAGGCACGTGTAAGTGCATGCCCAAGATCCTGAGAGAAGAACTACTTATGGTCATTTCCAAACACGGAATAGAAATTCAGAAGTTTACATGGTTTATAAAAAGTCACATAGCAGGCACTTAATCCCAGTCAGAATACTATAGCAACAGTATCTCCAAAACAAAACAAAACAAAACAAGAACAATAATAATCAGTTGATTAGGGGCTAGTGGGTGGCATGATGGTTAAGGTACTGGACTCCCACATGGCTGGCTGCAGATCAAGTCCCGGACTTGGTGGGTTGCTTTCTCACTTTTTCTCTCTGTTTCTCTCTGTCTCTCTCTGATGAGCCTGAGTGTCCTATAGCAAATTAAAATAATAATAATAATAAATTAAAATTAAATAAATAATTCTTTTGTTTGGAGAGGTTTTTTTCGCTATAGGGCACGTGCGCTCACCAGACAGAGACATAGAGACAGAA